TAATATATGTGTAGCGCTTAGGAAAAGTAAACTGGCTATTTGTGTTGTTAGAATAGGAATAAGTTTATACAATCCTATTAGAATAGGAATATGTTTATACAATCCTATTAGAATAGGAATATGTTTATACAATCCTATTAGAATAGGAATATGTTTATACAATCCTATTAGAATAGGAATATGTTTATACAATCCTATTAGAATAGGAATATGTTTATACAATCCTATTAGAATAGGAATATGTTTATACAATCCTATTAGAATAGGAATATGTTTATACAATCCTATTAGAATAGGAATATGTTTATACAATCCTATTAGAATAGGAATATGTTTATACAATCCTATTAGAATAGGAATATGTTTATACAATCCTATTAGAATAGGAATATGTTTATACAATCCTATTAGAATAGGAATATGTTTATACAATCCTATTAGAATAGGAATATGTTTATACAATCCTATTAGAATAGGAATATGTTTATACAATCCTATTAGAATAGGAATATGTTTATACAATCCTATTAGAATAGGAATATGTTTATACAATCCTATTAGAATAGGAATATGTTTATACAATCCTATTAGAATAGGAATATGTTTATACAATCCTATTAGAATAGGAATATGTTTATACAATCCTATTAGAATAGGAATATGTTTATACAATCCTATTAGAATAGGAATATGTTTATACAATCCTATTAGAATAGGAATATGTTTATACAATCCTATTAGAATAGGAATATGTTTATACAATCCTATTAGAATAGGAATATGTTTATACAATCCTATTAGAATAGGAATATGTTTATACAATCCTATTAGAATAGGAATATGTTTATACAATCCTATTAGAATAGGAATATGTTTATACAATCCTATTAGAATAGGAATATGTTTATACAATCCTATTAGAATAGGAATATGTTTATACAATCCTATTAGAATAGGAATATGTTTATACAATCCTATTAGAATAGGAATAGGTTTATACAATCCTATTATA